CAGAATCATGGTGTGGAGGGCTTGGAAGATGCTTCATGGGAAGGTGTGCATGTCTAGCCACTCACCAAGGTGGAACCACAGAGACTAGACCCTAACCACTCTGTGACACCTTTATGGATGGCTGCTTTTGTATTTGCAATGAAGCGCACGAGAGTCAACCAAACCACATTGTTGTCAACTTCAGCTCTGAATTTCACATGCCCCAGCTCTATATGCCACCCCAGATCTGTGTCCTAGCATGGGAGCCAAACCCCAAACCCTAACTGAAGCTACTCGGCTGTGGGGGCTTCTGAGGCTGTGTCTTGAGCACATCTGTGACACCCAGGTCCAGTAGAAGGATTGTCTTCTGTGTCACAGAATCCAGGGAGGGGCTGGGTTTGGGATGGAAGAGTATATAGAAAGCATAGGGTGCAAGGGTGTTCATCATTCATTCATTCATTCATTCATTCATTCATTCATTCATTCATCTTCAAAAATTACCAACTACCCAAGCTGCCTGGACACTGGAGATGTTGCTGACTTGGACTTTGGGGAGAGACTCTGAGCAAGAATAAGGGATAAAGAAGAGACAGGGAAGTGGGTGCAGAGAAGCTAGGTTCCTTCTGACTTAGCTCAGTATTATCTGTGACCTCCCCTCCCCCAAGAAACAAGTTGCATCACCACAAATTGCTGCACCGGTATATTGGTCACAAACTTGTTGGCCTGGTTAGGATGTGAGAATGAAAAGGAAACAAGGTACTTTAAACATTAACAACACTCTTGACACCTTGAAGTCAGCATGTCTTGGATGAATGGGTAACTCTCAACTTTCAGGATGAATGTATGGGCTTCGTTTGTTCATTGCTGAGGCAGGGTTACAAGTCTGTGTGCATGAATGTCTGGCTTAGTATAGCATTCATGTGTCCTCTTTAGAGAAAGGGCAAAGCTATTTCCAGTTGTCTGTGTCCAGCAGTAATGAAGCTCACTAAGGAAAGCAGCTTCCTGCAAGGCAGGAGGCCTAGGCTCTGAGTGATGATGCTGCTTAGCATGTTGGGACTCAATGGGCTCTCAGTGTCTCAGCTTAGGGGTGCAGAGAAGCCCCACTGGAGTTTTACCCAGAAGCCCTAGGAAGTTCAGCCCCAGTGCCCACCAGATGACAGTTCTCCCAACAAGAGGCCACGCATTAGGTTAAATCCACCGTATGCTGTTGTGGAGAGTAGAACAAAGCCACCTCACTTCAGCCAGGCTGCACAAGAGCCTATACCTAAGCCACACGGAGGTCAAGGAGAGTGAGCAGACACAGTTAGCAGGTTCAGTAGAGCGATTTGGTATTTGGGCTTGTGTATGCAAAGCAATCATTTTGGAGCCTTTATTCAGCTAGTGCTGTGCGTGTTCTTCATCTTTGTCCTAACCATGGGGAGGAGGCTCTTCTAGGGCAACAACCAGCACTCAGCATTTTCTGCTGGTTTGACAAAAGTGGATTCTTAATTGATCCTCCAAAAAAAAATTATTGAATGAATCACATTTCATTAGGCTCTATGGTACTCACCTTCTGTTATATTCGTAACATTTCTGTCATTTTCACCCACCTGGTCCAGTCCTGAACACAAGCATGACCTTCTCAGAGTAATAAAGACCTCATGGATAGAATTTTTCCTTGAGGATGCTGCCGGGGACAGTGCTCTATGGTGTGTGTGTGTGTGTGTGTGTGTGTGTGTGTGTGTGTGTATGGTTTGTGTGCCAGGACTCTTTTGTAGCTCTCAGTGGATGAGTCTCTCTACCACCTAGTTCTCTCACTTGTATTATCTACTTGGGGGAAAACTCCATATTCTGTCTTTCTAAAGGCTTCTGCTAATCACTGTGTTGTGGGGTCCATGAATGACAGACGACACTAACTGCAGGGGACACGCTTTATGAAATGAAAGACTAAAAGAACTGAGCAAGGTGACTGTAACCCCAGTATTCAGGCAGTATTACAAATTCTAGGATAGCATGGGTTACTCTGAAAAACTTTGTTTCAAAAGAAAAAGGAAAAGAAAAAAAAAAGAAAGAAAGAAGAGGAAGGAAGGAAAGAAGGAAGAAAGGAAGGAAGAAGGGCAGACCTAAGACAAAAGCTTATGGCCATCCACAGACACACTCAAAATTTAATCAACACTTGAAATGAGGCCTCAATGTCTTGAATTCAAGGGTTCACGTTTAAAACACTTCAGCACCTTCACGAACATGTAAAGGAACATCGGAGTCTTCACTGGGAACATCCCTTTTAGAATGGGGGTTCTTCTTCACTCAGTGACTGATCCTTATCCAGGGAGATTATGACTCATGCTGTTAGTATGCTCTGTGGGCTTTAAAACCCCCAGATTACTATGACTTTATTGGCAACGGTCAGAATTCTGAATAATCCAGTGTGTGGGCATTTTAGATTGGCATTTCCCTCTGACATAGGAAACTTGTTTCTATATTTGAAGTGGCTTAGCTCTGCTAAGTGGTCCCCTCAGCTGAGGAGTCAGGGGTCCATCTGGACACCATAAAGTGCTCATGGCATCTTGGGCTTTAGGCTCACAGTTAATATTAATATTTTGTCATTTTCTGTAAGTTTCACAAGTTCAAAGGCAATGAAAAGAGGGAATGGGGCCAACCCTGGGCATAAACACCAACAACAGCAACCTCTCTGCCTTATCATTGATGCCCTAGTCAATCCTAGTGCAGCTTTAGAGAGAAGGTCAAGTTCACCAGTCTGCTGTGTTTGGTTATTGATTTTGCTTTTGGCAGAGTCCTCCCTCTAGGGAAATACTCCTTTGTGAAGCTGGCTGCACTGGCACCTGTGAATGCCTCCCCTTCACATATTCACCCAGATATAAGGACTGTCTCAGAGAAAGAATGGACTCTGTTTGGCTTTTGACATTACCATTTTCTAAATATACTGCATTACTGTGTGTGTGTGTGTGTGTGTGTGTGTGTGTCAGACAGACAGACAGAGACAGAGAGAAACAGAGACAGAGAGACACAGAGAATCTTCTTGTGACAGGGTCTGATGTAGACCAGGCTTGCCTCAAACTCACTATGGAGCTAAGAAGGGCCTTGAAACTTGATTTTCTGTCTCTGCCTCCAAAGTGTTGGAATTACATTCATTTGCAACTACACCCTATCAGAATATTTTTAATTGTGGTTTTCTCATAGAGAGCTCATCTGCTTGATATACCATCACTTATTAGTTCTATATAGCTTTAAATGGCTAAACCATCGTTAAATACCCAAAACTGACTTTTAGGCACACAAAACACTGAAAAAAAAGTTTACCTTTCTCAATTTTAATAGAAAATCAGCATCGAAAGCAAAATAATAATAATAATAAACACAACTTCCTATGGTCAGCAGCCTCCACACAGATGTGACCCCCCCTTGGCTGAATTTGCATGTTATCCAATTTTGTGGAAGCTCTGATGCAAGTTGTACTGTATTTCTTCTTGTCATAGCTAGTTAGTTTTTTTCTTTTCAATTTTCCTGCAGACATAAAAGTGTAAAGTGAGATACTCCTTTTTTAGCATGTTGTTCTATTAAAATAGGTCCCCAAACCCGAAGCCCCTTTATTTACATTCTAAATGATGTATTTTCCCTTGAATCTTAAAAATTGCATTACATTTGGAGAGAGTGTGGGTTGGCTGTAAGCTTGATTAAGCAATGCCATGGCCACTCAGCTAGCACACGGGGATCACCTGCTCATGGCAGCAACCGCTCATGGCAGTTACCACAGCTCACCAGGTAGGAACAGCACCCAGCAACCAGGAGCCAGGGCTCCTACTTCCCATTTTCTCTCCAGGCAAACTGAAAGGCACAATGCGGGTTCAATGGATCACTGCCTTCATTTTCAGAACAGTGGCAGCCTTAGCCAAGCAGGTAGATTTCAGATGAAGCAAGGCAAACCTGCCATGTTGGTGCAAGTGGGACTGGCCTTGCTAAAGGACCAGCTTGATCGGAATTAAGAGTCCTTCCTCTCTGCTCTTCTCCATGGAAAGCACCTCTCCTACCTATCCTGGAGTGGTATGTCCCCAGAGGATACCAGATGACAGAAAGACTCATGAGAGCTAGCTGGGCCCTCCAGGAGCTCCAGAAAGCACAGACGTCTAAATTCCATTTCTTAGTGATTTCGAGCTCCTTGCTAGTCACTGTAAATATAAACAGAACTGGGAAGAGTGGAGCGTTAAATTCACAAGGGAGGTAGTTTTCAGGATTCTGCTTGCCTGGGGCAGCCCCAGCAGGGGGAGGAGGCAGATCAGAGAGAAACAAAAAAAAAACAGGTGTGGCCACCACCTGCCTCCAGTGAGCTTTAGTGAGGGTGTGCAGTCATGGGGGGGGTGGGGGGCAGGCAGATTCAACAAACCCAAAGCTGTCCAGGGATTCCTAGGTGCCAGCTACAATGTGGTCTGGGGACAGTGAGGTTTGGAGCTGGTGTCTCCAGGGACCCCCTCTCTGCTGAAACATTTCCCCACAACCTCTTGGATTTGTACAGTTCCTCTTTCTGTGAGGCCCAAGAGTCCTGGACTCCCCTCAGCGTGCAGTCTCACAGGAGTGGAAGGAAGCACCCTGTCTTCATCTCGGGTTCCTGCACACCCACACCATTCCCTAGCTGCCCTGAAACAAGTGGGCCAGAGGTGGAAGTGAGCCACAGATGGGCTCTCTGGATGCTCTTGCCCAGCTTCCTCCCCTCCTCTGACCAGCTCCAAGACACCTCCCTGGAGACTAGAGACCTCCAGGCTTCTTTAGGAACCCATCACCCCTTTAAAGCAGCTCTCCGGAGTTCTCTGTCAGAGAGCCCAGGGCTGGATCTATATAGGTAGAGCCCTAGAAGCAGCGGAAGAATGGTATTTCCCCTGGGGGAGGGGTACACAGCAAGCTCAGCTCAGTTCCACACAGGAGCTCTGTCATTGCTTGTGTAGGACCTGTGGGGGCCCCAGGAGGGATTAATTCAGGGCCTGAGCTCAATGCTGGAACAGAGCACCCAGCTGGTCTCTAGCCTTTCTTCAAACTTCAGTTCCTTCCTGGCTGTAGACAAGGTGACCCACCCTAGAGCTGGTAGCCCCTGTCTGATGGCCAGAGGCGAAGCCCTGCGCGGTGTTAGGGATTTGAGGACTGTGGGCAGCTGCGGTTGGTGGCCTTCTCAAAGAAAAGTCACGGGCCAGGCCATTAGGGATGGCGCCAAAGCCGCCAGCCAGGGTGCCAACGGCTGTGGAGAAGCCAGAGAGGCAAGCAGCGGCGTCGGGTGCAGGCGGGGATGGCGAGGTCTGCAGGTCCTGGGAAGCCAAGACATGATGCTCCAGTGGGGCTCCCTCTGGGCTGATGGCTCCTGGTGGCGCAGTGGCCTCGCTCATCTCCCCTCTCCTCCTCCTCTTCCTTCGGAAGTTCCCATTGTCAAACATCTTCTCGCAGTTTGGGTCCAGCGTCCAGTAATTGCCTTTACCTGTGGGGGAAAGCAGTTAAGAAAAGCCTTGTTGACTCCACTGGTCTATGCGGAGGATCCTGAGCCCTACTCGCTCCAAGCCTTGAGGTGTCTTTGTGTCAGGAATGGGCCTGCACGGTCATACCCTACCATGGACCCTTGTTGATATCCAAGCGCATCAAGCTGGGCTCACTCAGCCAATGGAGCGGGGCTAACCACATCTGGTCTTTATATACTGTTCAACGCTTTCCAGAGAAACATCATTCCCCAGCACGCCCAGATTTTTAAAGGTAGGCACTATCTCTCCCATTTTACAAGGAGGCATATCGAGGCCCAGAGATGTTAAACTCCCATGACCACTCAGCCGGCTAGCTTTCTAGGCTTCAAGCAGAGCCCTGGGTCGCTCAGATTGGAAGCTAAGGCCCCAGGGCTCTGCTGCTAGCGCATAGCCTGTCCTTGCCTAACGCGTCTTTCCTCTCCACTTCATCCCACCAGAGTTCTCTCCTGTGCTTCATTCAGTTGGTCTCCCAGGGCCGTTTCCACCCCAGTCACCCCACCAGACGCCAGGGCCCAGGGTCCTGGATGGGGCTCACGCGCTGCTAGTTACCTGGGTCGTTCTCATCTCGTGGCACCTTCTTGAAGCAGTCGTTGAGCGACAGGTTGTGGCGGATGGAGTTCTGCCAGCCTGCCTTGCTGCGCTTGTAGAAGGGGAAGTTGCCGGCCACGTACTGGTAGATCTGGCTGAGCGTCAGCCTGCGCAGCGGCGCGCTCTGGATGGCCATGGCGATGAGCGCGGAGTAGGAGTAGGGCGGCCGTACCAGCCTCAGCAGCTCCTGCTGTCCGGACAGGCTCAGCCACGCGAGATCGGCGCCCGCCAGGCCGCCTGCAGCGCCGAGGAGTGAACCGGGGGCGGCGAGGGCCGCTGCGGTGTAGGATGGTGCTGAGCCCGCGGCGTAGGGCGCGGGACTAAGTGCCGCGGAGTTCACCCACAGGCGCCTGCAAGAGCCCAGATCGGCCCGGCTGTAGCCCGGGGGATGCGCGACGGCCCGTGCCAGGCCGTGCTGGACCGAGCAGGCGCCCAGACCTTCGCAGAACCCAGCCATGTCCAGCTCTCCGGCCTGGGCCGGTGCAGGTGGTTCCGTGCTGAAGCTCATGGGCGCTCCATTCATCCCTTTCCCACAGTCCGGCCCTGAGCTCTTTAAATGCCTTTGGGACGGGGGTGGGGGTAGGGGCGGGGGTGGGGTGACACTGGGTGAGAGAATCTAAGGTAGTGATTCTCTTCCCCTGCCAGCCTTGGAGGGGTGAAGTCCAGTTCCAGCCCTCAGGTCAGTTTTCAACTCCTCCCACTCCCCATCCCCCACACCACCCCTCACCCTAACCCCTCACCATCCCTAACCCCGCCTCGCCCTGAGACACTCAGAGAAGTAGTCAGTCCCTGGATAGTTCCCAGGGTACCTAGGTTCCTCCAGGATCAGAGTCCTTCCTGGCCAGAGGACCCAAAGTTTTCTCAGATTCCACCTCCCAGGGCTAGGCTAGGGAGCCTTAACTCAGGGGCCTTAACTCAGCCCTGTTTCTGGCCCCTGACATTTGAGAGCACTTGTCATGCACATAAATTCCTAGTGAGGTCCTTAAGTGTGACAGGGACAGGGTCTCAAGAAGAAGTGTGGAAAGGGACTCCCTTCCCCCAACTGGGCTGCCTTGTCTGCCCTCAGTCAATGGGAGAGGATGGGCCTACCTCTGCAGGGACTTAATGTGCCGGGGGGGGGGGGGGGG